GTGAGGTGCGTAAGCTGAAGTACAACGCATTCAGCTCGGGCGGTATGAGGGCCTTTATGGCGGTGATAATTCGCCACAGCATGCGCCACACGGTAAGGACCGGGTGGCAGATTGCGGGGTTCATCTAGCACGAAACAAGGTTAGTGCGATTGTACAGTCAGCAATTGTGACCTCCACCAACAATAAATTTTCTTGTCTTCGATTTTCCTTCGCTCAAACCTCTCCCTCTTCATTCCTCAAGGTCTGGCTCGCGCACACGATGCGAAGGCGTTGTCAATTTTGCGCGATCATGACCTTGGATTACTTACAGGTAAGAATCTTTCTCTCTCCCTGCTTTATTTTCTGCTTCACATGATGAACATCATACACGAACAATCCAAATCAGACCAGCACAATGGTGATATAGCAATCTCTAGAATTACACTGAGAAAGCTTTGGACCTCAGAACCGGCAGGATGTTTTTGTCGCAAACCTCTTACTGACCAGTCACTAGTTTTGTTTGTTTCCTTGCTAGCCATACAATGGACGCGTCTCCCGATCGAGCGCGTCATCTCTTGCTATAAACTGAAAAGGTTGGTATATATTTTCCTTTGTCCCCCCCCAACCCTCTCCGAGTGATGATCAAAACGACACCTTAGGGATTCCTCATTCTTAATATACTATGTGGATACTGTTGTTATAAGTTTCAGCCTTGTCTGACAGGAGATCACAATGCCTCTTTGCTTGCACCGTTTTCTACTGATGCAATTGCTAACTCGCGCTTGTCAATAGGTAAATTTCTTCTTCCTCTCAAGCGCTCTCAGCCACTTTATGATGAAGATTTGAACGAACGGGCGGACATAAATGAGTACTGCTGCCTCCCGCCTTAGAAAAGCAAGGACGTACAAATCCTTGTGGTGGGTGTGTAGTGGGACCTCTTGTTGATACTTCGTCACCTGATCGTGGCTCCTGTGGAAATGGATTCTTGTCGATATCTGGTTAAAGAACTGGTGACTGACTTTTGAGGATCTAGGTACCTAAACAAAGAATTCTTACTCTTGCACATACATCCCTTTCGTGATGAGTTGTTTTTTTAGTATTCACACTGTTTGACTCTTGGTCTTCGGACCTTGGGATATGAACACAACATCAACATCTGATTGATTGGTATGCTTCCAATGCTCTCGCAATACGCGATTCTATGGCTAACCTGTATAGATTTGTTCTTGCGCTTTTGCTGCCAACCTCCATGACGGCGGACGCTAACTCCGTCATAGGTATACAATAGACATTCTGGTATCATGAATGGTAAGATAGCATTTTCCTGGCGCATATCTGCACACCCCTGCCATATGATGACTCTGCTATTATTAGCTCTATCCGAGTTCATCGTGACGAACAACCTTTTCACCTTGGAGAACTGATATGGTTTCCTTGACACATGCCTTTTCTTGCAACATTGTGAAGATGCCATAGCTAACCAGCTTCATTAGATTCAACGATTAATGATCGCGAAGTTATTGTACTTCAAGAATTATGTAATATGAGAATATATAATTTACCAAGCCATGCTATGCCTTTCTTTGTGTAAATGTAAATATGTGTGAATGTTGCAGATGTTTCCTACCTGGGAATGGTACAGCTATGTCCGTAGATATCCATTCTTTTTACGCCTATTGTGTTCTCGTTCACTCTAGCATGTACTAAACTTATCTCTTGAGCTGCAGCCTTGCGTTCATTCCAACAATGCAGCGGATCAAATCCCAATCATCCTTGTGGCCTACCCAGTCGGTGACGACGACTCCTGTACCTGCAGAACCGATCTTGAGCTTGTTTGGCCCCTTGCCATCCTCGCCGTGGCACATGCAAAGGTACTCGATAACAGAAGGGTTGACCTTGGCAGCAATACGCTCTGGCCAGCAGGTTGCATTGAAGAAGTTGCTCGCTGTGAGGAAGTTGACGAACAAGGGGGGTAAACTAGCATCCTCCTTATGACCATCCATCCCAGCGAGAGCAAAGGTCTGCTCAGCAGCGCGTTCGAGTTGCCGACGGCAGTACTCGATCTTCTTCTCTATATTCTGGCTCTCAGTAATTTCGTAAAAGTCTTGGACACGGATAATACCTCCCGGCACCTTGCCGTCTTCACAATTATCGGGCCAGGCGCCTGCGTCAATACCCCAACCTCGACCATCCCAGCATGTCTTCTTCATCTCGCCGTCCAAGTTGAAACGGCGGACGATGACAATGCGACCACGGGCACCACCCAGAGTTGGAATCTTGGGCTCAGTCCACCATCGACTTCGTCTTTTATCGACGTAGCTGTGCTTCAGATATTTTCCGAGTTGTTCGTCGTTGCCCCTTCCAGTACCTTCGCGCTTGATACTCATGATGACAGTCTCACTGCTGTTCTCGTCGAGGAACTTGTAAATATCCTCGAGCATGTGTCTGAAGTACTTTGTGCCAGTCAAGGAAATGGGAAACACGCTGTGGACAAGAGCAAGTTCATCATCGTCAGGACTGACGGACACTCGAACGTCGAGGAACCGAACACCATTTTTGAGTTGCTCCAAGACGTCAACCGCTTGACACCGAACAGAAGGAAGAGCAGTATAGCAGGTAGGAGAATTGTGCGTGCCAGGAATCGAGAGCAGAGTGAGTGGCCAGTCGTCGTGAAGCTCGTGCATCCAGCGATGCAGTTGGGCAGAAGAGAAGATGGCGAGAAAGGCACCGTTGGGGGTATAAACGACAGTGAGGTCATGTTTGCCTCCGTCCAGGTTCTTCATGACAGAAGATTTGTTGGAGGGGCTGGGGATGTCGACCTGATACTTGTGATCTTCATATTTGAAGGTAAGACGAACCACCTCCTTATTCTTGTCGGCGGCTCGGATGCCAGAATCCTTGGTCTTGAAGGGCTCAACTTTGACAGAGGCATTTTCCTTGTGAATGGGCTCGCCCTTGGCCTGGGTTTGGCGAGAGCTGAAGTCGGAAGCCTTGATGAAGCCACTGATATGGCTTGTCATATTTGAGAGGACATTGCCGGTTCTCACAGTTTGGCCCTCGAACCTCTCGATTTCTATGAGCTCGATTGGGTTGATAGTAAGATTGCGAATGGTGAGGTGAGCCATGGCTGTGGTTGTCGCAAATAAGGTGGTCACTAATTGAATGGAATGATGGCGCTTATTGCGAAACCTCGTGGAAAGTGGCTGAAGCTAGGTACCCGAAGAAGAGGTTTGTTAAGGGTGAAATAAAAAAGACAGACAGCCAAGCTTGAAGCCAAGCAGGAAAGGCCGGAGGTAAGCTCCTCCCGCGTGTAAAAATTAAGAGAATCGAGGCCAAGATCTTGAGTCTGAGGCTGAGTCTGAGTCTGAATGCGGTAGGGGGAGGTCAGGAAGCTGGGAGCTTCTGAAGCTCACCTCATGGAGCTATCCTATGCAGGCCTAGTTCGGAGTGCGCGGGGCCAGTTTTCATGTCAATTGGACCCCTCGAATAAAGTGGCGGGGACATGGAAGCACCCAAAAGACGGTAAAAGCCTAACGGAGCAGGGGTAGCAAGAGAGTGTAAGCTACTGTATCATGGGAGCTGAAGTCATCTCAGCTTGCGTCGTCATCATTGCCAAGGGTGCCAAGTGAGGGAGACTCCCCGGACCAAGTCAGACTTTTCATCTTGGGTGTTTCATCTGGCGCCGACACACTGAAAGTAAGCTTAACACAGCTACAGTAACAGACTGGGCTGGCATATAGGCTAAGCCTTCCAAGCCCTTCCCAAGAGAAGAGCAGAACTGTGAAGGCCCAACGCATACGGTTCAGTGTTGGCGTTCTGACTTGGCCGATGAACAATTCCATCGGGGAACCGACAATAGAGCACACAAAGCAAGGCTGAAGCTGCACATTGAGATGGATGGGTGTCAATAGGTAATCTACCTCCACGGTTGCCAGACTAATTGCACCGGCTCGACTTGGCTGATCCCGATCCTCTGAGCTGGGACGGGACAAACAATGGATAGCGTGTATGCTAAAAGGGACCGAGGGACAGGATGACCGTGCACCATCTGCTCAAGCGACCCGAGCTACAGTACCATTCCATTGGAAAGGGGGGGTTGCCTCTTGTTTCCTGGTTTTCCCTGCCTGACGATTGAAACGTTGACGCCTTAGCGTTGGGGGAATGCGATCACGGCGGGAATGGCGTTGGAAGGGATGCGATTATTGAGAATCGAGAGCGTAGGAACGAAGCAAGTCTATCATTGATTATTCCCAAGTAATTGGTTTCCTTGTTGAGAGTAGCTTGAAGATTGCTCGAGTTCAAAAGACGCGTGAAAGTCGAGGTGAAGAATGGCACGGTCATGTTGAAGGTGGCAGGTGAGTGACATGTAACACAATGGAACACAATAAGGATTTCCAACAAAGAGGGCCCAATATTACAGCATGAAGTTTAAGAAAGAGACGGAAATTATAACCAAGGAAGCTCTTATCATATTTGTATATCACTTTATATCACCAGTTAGGAATATCCTCTGCTGATTATTCGCATCCCAAGAATACCTTACTCTTTCTCAATAGCAGGCGGCACTGTAGATATTCGCCTGACATGAGGATCCCAGAGATCCCGTAGACAATGAGTCGACTTTTCTTTTTGGTAGCACAGTTAATTGATTATCATTTAATCTGTGGCTGAGACAAAGCAATGGTTCTCATATTAAATCAGGAATTAATTCCGCTGTGCTACATGAATATCACCGGCCTTCAGGGTCCGGCTGGTCAAGGAAGAAAGAAAGAAAGAAAGAAAGAATGAATGAATAAACTCCTCAACCCCATGCCCTTCATCTCTAATCATAAAAAGGCCGTCAATATCCTTCTCAGTATTGCTGTTCTCTTTTCAGCATCCCGCGAGAAAAGTCTAGTTAACATAGACCTCAAGGAACACTCGAATCCACCTTCACCAGGTTCGTTGGAAATGCTTGCTCGTGATTACCCAACAACCTCCTAATCCAACCATTTCCAGAGATGTAGCATGGTATTATTCATTCAATGACTTGTTCGCCGTCTTTTAGTAGGGGCCAAGTCTTCCTCATCATCCAGGTTAAGTCGAAGTGAAGGTCCAGCACGTTTCTGGATGAGACCTCCAATGACATCTCGGCCTCCAATGACATTACCTGTTCCCTCAACATTCAGGCCCGCATCGACCTGGATACTCAAGGGCCGAGGGCAGCCAGACTCGTCAATCATTGGAATGCCGCAACGGCCAGAGCTTCCCTCGTGTAAAGCTTGCACGACGGCCTTGGCGATAGCGTTGGCCTGTTCTGCAGGAGTGGCTGTGAGGCACACGATGTTGTTGTTTCGTGAAACATTGACAGATGTGTCGATTTTGAGGCTGATGGGTGAGCTTCCCTCAGATGTCTCATCTTGGTCATCATCCACAGTATCAGAAAGCAGGGAAGTGCAGGTGGTTTGTTGGGGCTGAGGGTGTGGGATACTTCCACCCATGTTAGGGAGAGCATCCCGCCTCTCTTGAATAATTCTGGCCATCATGGCAGTGAAATCAGCGGCGGGAACTCTTCGTGGTGTGTAGGCTGGAGGAGGGCTGTTCTCCTTGGGGACATCGACTTGGGGGTCCTGAGATTGAGAAGTATTGTTGGGAGCGTCCATGACTTCTTTTTATTTTATTTTATGTAAGGGAAGATGTATTTGTGTGCTCGGGTAACGATGCTGTCCGAAGAAAAGGAGAGCAGAGTCAGGTGATGTTACTGGATAAGATGTTTGTGTTGATGCAGGAGAGGAAGTCCAGTGCGACAGGCCAGTCATATATAAAGGTTTCTCGACGATAAAATTGCCGTTAATAACGGGGAAAGACAAGATCTTGTCCTCGACACAATAGGTAAAGGCCAGGGGGCGAGGTGGTGGTCGAGAGCTATGCGCCACGTGTGATAGTGCTGTCTCTGGCTTGCTGGGGTTGAGGTGACGCGAGGATGAAGTGATTTCTGGATAGAGTTAAGAGGTTCAGAGAGAGATGTTCCGGAAAGGAAGCGGGAACGGTATCTAGATATAGTTGGGCTGAAGGGAGAACAAGAAAAGGGGGAACTGAGCAAGTTTCCTCTGAGTGCTGGACAATACCAACACTAATCATAATAAGATAGAACCTATTCAACACCTGATTGATTGTCTACGTGGAGCCGCGTTGTGATATCTGCAGTGAGAGAGAAGTACAAGAAAATCACAGCAAACAAGATTTGTAGAAGAATCCCATCTACCTGCACAGGAGAAGGGGGTACAGGGGAAAATGGCATGCATCGACTTCAGGCTGAGACTTTGTAAGCCACCATTTCATCTGCAACTACAATATGGCACAATAATAGGCACGGGAGGAAGAATGGATCCTATAGCGCTCAGGCATAACTGACATCTACCTGATTCAGTCAAAAAAAAAAAAGAAAAAAATACAAGCCACCAACATGAACACAGCACGATATGTCACAAGCACAAGAGGTTGGATAGCATAATGTCGTGTGCCATGGCGTGGCCAAGCTAAGAAAAAAGAGACTTGCAGCCTCAGCCGAAACTAACGTCCGTCAGGCCGGGTTCATTGTCTGCATTGTACTGTGCACAGGATATGCTCTCGCGAAGGATTTCGGACTTATTGAAACGGGTATTGTTGATCTCTCTCATCAGACTCTATCTACGCCCCCTCCACATACGCAGAAGATGGCTGAAACCAACGCGATGACCACCTACCACCGAATACCATCACCATGGAATGGGATGGGTTCTAGCACCGGATAGGGCAAAGTAGTCACGTCAAAGCCTGTATCAGGGTATAACCTATGCGTGCATTCTCATGTCTTGCCTGTTCTCGCTGGCGGGTCTTATTTCCTATTGAAGCAGTTGGATGGTTACATGTTCATTTTGTCCTCGTTGCTTCTGGGGTTATCACCTGCATGAGTCCAAACGGTAATGTGCAGGTATCAAACTTTGGCCAACAGAATCGAAAGAACTTTTGAGACAAAATCCAGCCTTTATCATATATGATATTGGGGAGTTTCAACGCAAGGTTTCGGAGATCGACAATACTAACCTACCTGTAGCCACGGTATGAATTAAGTCCAACAAGAGAAGCATTGAATGAAGTAACCATCAGGGCTGTGACCTTCCTACATTCTGAGTACCTTAGTACTTACTCGTTAATAGATGATCGTTTAGGTATTGTATCCCTTTTCTTCATGATCAGCACATTCTAAAGACAAAGTCATCAATACCAACCTCAGTGCAGTAAAGCGCTGACTCTGAGATTGAACATCAGTCAGTCACGACCGACATTGGAAAAGCGAACCTTTTGGCGGAACGTGGTTGGCCGATGCGGACGCGGAAGGCGTAAAGGTGGCTTTCGGGGCGCGGCTTGGCGGCTTGTTGCTTCCTATTGTCCCCAGACGCGCTTAGTATTGTTGTCGAATAGCCCCGGTAAAACCCCCCTGTCAGCCCGCAGTCCCGACCGAATGGGCTGAATCGAGGCACCGACCACGGGCGACACCTGCCGCCTATTCGCTTCCTATTGAGGCCCACTTCGGGTTTAGCGCCCGTGGCCCAGGTCCACATTTACGGACTCCTGCCGCCTTCCGCAACCTCCAGAGTCTCATTCTCCCTCCAACTTTTGCACACTCAAACTCGGTTCTGTACACCTCAGCCAACACAAATGTACCCATGACAGCCGACAATAGAAAGTAGATACGTCCTCCCTACGAGCTTCCTCTCTTGGGCTGACAAGTGCATGTTCCAAACGGTCACAACCATCCATCATCCCTGCCGTGATGCATCTCGGGGACTTACACCCTTCAGACAGTCTAGGACGAAACTACACCACACCACACCACACCACCTCCTTACCGACAAACAATATCATATTGCCCACTCACACTCTGTATAATTCGCCGAAGGAAACCTTGCCCGTTCAATTTCCCAACAAACAAACAAAGGTCCATGCGCTGGTCACCAACGTCTACCAGGTCCGCGGCGTCATATCTACCTCCTGCAGAACCATAACCAGTTTAAGCGAAGCAGCCTTTTGAATGCCAAACCATCTCCTCGGTTCTGCTGTCTATTCAAGCTTGGGCCCCCGGCCCCAATTCTCACTTTCTATGCTGCCTTAACCTTCAGCGTCCAAGCCCAGAATACCAGCAGAGTGACTACGCTATAATGGCGTACCCGGGACGATCCTCTTCCCATCCGGCCTGCTGGTTCTTGACACACTGCAATGCAGAGTATACCAGCAGTTCTGGGCTTGATTACATTTCACTCGATATTCACAGGTGGCTATTGATGTTATGGGTATAAGCCTACTGTGCATCAGCTACAATGTTTACATCTAAAACAACTAGAAGGACTAAGGAAAGGTCGTTTCACCTGTGACAATTCTTGATCCAAGGGTCCAGTTGGCTGAGTACTTCACTCCTGGTACTCATGGTCCGACGTCGGCTTCAGCATAGCCTTTCGTCAAGTGCCGACATCGTTGGCTGAACGAGCTGCCTCCACTGTGCAGTCATGTTCGCGCAATTTATGTCTCAAACAAACAAAGATCTGCAGATGATGAGACGTGAATCTACTCCTCCTACAGTAACAGTTGTGACATACCGCCAGCTTCTGATAGTACACCCTTTGCCAAAGAACAATGCCTACGGTCTGTTGATAGTCCCTCCCACGTTTATTCATACCACACGGGATGACGAAGACTACACTCCCCTCCAATCCAAGCGGTTTGAGCAAGTCTTTCAGCTCGGTAAACGGAATGCCCTAACTTGCTCAACGGCACATCTGGGTTTTCGGATCGAAGGACTGGGCCTGTAAGCCACCAAGCAAACAACTCGAGGCTTTTTGAATATGTCTCAAAGTCAAGTCATGTTCTTCAAACCGCTGTATGCTCCTTCTTTTTGCTCTTGAGGCGGTTTGATCCTATCACCTCTAGCCAAGTTGGAAAGCTTATGTCAAGCCGCGTCTTCCTCATCATTGACCTGGGTATAAGCCATGATCATAAATGAGATGGGGCATGAGCCAGTGGGCTTCTGAATGCAGATTAAGGCTTCTCAATCAATTGGACAAGGTTGTTCTTTCGAATGCCTGTTCTGAAATAACCTTCATATCTTCATATGCGGAGGTAAATTTGCTAGTACTTGTTGACTGGCCATGGAACGTAGGTCCTCTGGAAGCCCTTTTTAATTACAGGTATTTTATGCAGCCTCTGTGGTCTAGTCGGTATCAATGAGTGCTGTGCACTACTTCAAGCACACACATCCATATCGGATCGTGCGGCCACTGGGGCCTGGGTCATCAAAAGCTGCAAAAGCAGCTGGCTAGTGCCAAGCTCACTGCGCCATTCTGCAAATCACAGCATCCAGAGAGTGAACAGTTGTTCTCGATTTTGCGAGAAATGCAGCCATAAAGTCACCAGGGTGTCACTTGCTGGTCTCGCTTTTAGATCGCGTCATCCACCAACATGCTGACACTGGCTCCGGTCTTCAATCATCGTTGAGGAGGCGAGTTGTCTTGTTTTTCGTCCATAATGCTTTCACGGGAGGTATCTTCATCCCTGCTTCGTTTCTCAAAACCCATTTGTCCGTGATCTTCCTCGTCGAATCAAAATTACTCTGTGATGTTTTCATCACAAGACCGGTATGTGCTTAGACTCCCCTTGTGTCCCAATACAGCGCTGGATTTAAATTGAGGGGCTCCAAGAATGATATGAGGTCTAATAAAGCAGGGGTATCCGAAAGGCAGATAGGCTACTTCATCTTTTACCCCTATGTCAGAAGATTCGACAGTTCCCACCCTACGTGAAACACGATTGCACAAAAGCTTGGAGAGGTGTCATCCAACTTTGAGAATTCCTGGCAAAAGAAGCAGCTGTGGGCGCGAATGGCCCAGAACAATGATTGCCACACGAAGGCACTTTCAGATTTCGAGGATCTGGGGCACGCCTTTTCTCGCGGACAGTAGGGTCTTTCTCGTTTCCATTTGTGGTGAACTTCTCTAGAAGGTAACCCCTGACGTACTACATGTTCACTGGACTAAAGTTCACGGTGCCAGCCAGTTGTTTGTTTTACTCTTCAGACCTCAAATCCAAACATCTGTCCTTCAAGATTGCTGATATGCTGCTGTTGGAATGAGTGCAACGCGGCTTCAAGCAACACACTTAACATGGTCCAGATGAGTCTAAGGGGCCCAGGCTTTGCAACACTTTTTTACGGCACGGGGCATCGGCTTCACCCAGTTCGATTTTCCATGCAACCGGATTGTGGAGGCTGGGGGCCTTGTGCACCTATGTTGTCAGGGTGGGTTTTCACCTATAAACCATCGTTGGTTCTGGGAGGGCTCATTACATTGGGTGGCACATAACCTTCTATGGACTCCTTTCTGTTAAGAGGTCAATGACAAAGTACCTTATCAAGTCACAGTTACGTTCGGTAATATAGCGGATTTCAAGCGGTCTTCCCCCTAGGGCTTTCGGACCTCACATGGCGCAGTGAACTTTTCATCAGACACTGTTCTTGCTGGGATGTTACGCTGCCTCACCACACTTTACTCACAAACTGTTATCTCGACTTCACAGCCGCAAGCTCGTAGATCGTCCGTAGTAGTATCCTTTTCGAGGTAAGGGTGACATC